TGGGGGCTCTGTGGTCCATAAACACCACCTTCTCCAGCTGCCTGTCCTCCTGCAGACCCCCATGGGCAGAGGGGCCATCAGCAGAGGCCTGGGATAGAATCAGAAGGGACAGAATTGGTGTCCCTTGTGTTCCCAAACCAACTGCTCCCACCCTCCCCCTGTGCAGCGGCTGTGATAACTCTTCATTCTGCCGTCAGACTGCACAGCACAGCTGGTGGCTGGGGAGGGTCGTCCAGGAGGAGCAACTTTCTAATAGACAGTTCCAAAGCCTAAGTGAGCTGCCTAAGGGACGCAGTGAGCTTCCCGTCCTCAGGTATTCCAGACACCAGGCAGGAAAACTGCATTAGGAACCTGACCCTGACAAATGGCTAAATGAGGTGGCCTCTGACACCCCTCCCAACCTGAGGTTCTCTGGTGCAGGGTCTGGAGGCATCAGGACACAGCATAGTAGTTAAAAGCACATGTTTTTCATCAGGACTGGGTTCGGATCCCAGTTGTGTTCTTGTCAGCTACGGCCTTGGCCAAGTCACTTCCTCCCTGAGCCTCAGTCTTCTTGTCTGTGATATGGGGATATTGATGCCTGCTTCACGGGGTTCTTGTGAGGATCTGGTGCAAAACCCTTGGCATGGTGCCTGGCACATGGTAAGTGCTTAGCACAGAGCAGCCACTAATGATAACATTGTTAGGAAATGGGGACAAGCTGGGGTGCAGGGCCAGGGCATTGATACCAGGCGCTGTAGGAGCCAGCCACTGCCCACCGCCGTGGCTCCTGGTTATCAGAACCCGGGAGGAGGAGGAGCAGCCAGCTGGGTGGGACCTGCTCAGCCCGAGGGGGCAGAGTCTGCCTGCGCAGTGGCTGGCTGCTCCACTTTCAAGGCCGGGAAGGGGATTTTGTCACCAGCATCCGGGGCAGCAGCTGCTGAGCCCTCCCTGTGGAGAACTGTTCGGGGGGAGGCAGGGAGGAATGTGGGCACGGTGCCAGGTGTAGCAGCCTCCCTGCGGTGCTGGGGAAAAGTGCTGAGCTCCCAGCCCGGCAGCTTTGTTACCAGTCCTGTGGAGGGAATTGGCCCTCCCAGGCAGGCCCCAACCCCGGCTCTCAGCCCAGCCTCCCCCAGCCCTGCAAGCTTGAGAACTTGGGACCATCCATGGGACCAGGAAGAAGGAAAGCTGCTAACTTTTAGAATCCTGCAGTCTACTGGCTGTGTGGCCCTGGGCTGGTTGCTGCCCACTCTGGGCGCCAATCTCCCCGCATAACATGAAGCGGGTGGGCTAGGCTATCCAGATAGATCTTGTGCTGACCCTCTTTCCCTGGATCCTCTGAGCCACCTGCACCCTCAGTTCCAGCTCAGGGAGAGGGCTGATGGATGAGAGGGTCCCCCCAGCTGGGGATGTGCCTGTTTCCAGCCTTCTTGGAACGTCATTCACTCCTATGTTGGCAGTCTCCCGCCTGCTGGTGGCAGTCTCCCCCTATGTTACTTCTGTCCCTGTCAGAGGAAGGACAGGAGAGTAATCCAGGGCTGTGGCTCCTCTCTCCCTCTGCCCAGAGAGAGAGCAAAGGCTCTGTCCTGCCATCTTTCCACCTCCCCAAGTGGCCGGGTCTTTGACTCAGGCCTAATGGGGGGGACGTAGTGGGACCTTCAGAGGAGGGGGAGATGCTGGAGGGACCTCTGGGTCGTCTTGTCCCCCCCACCGACCTCCGGGCCACTCTACAGCAAGCATTTCCGCCCAGTCATGCCCCATCAGGACTGGTGCCCAGGGGAGAAGCCATGGTATTTTTTATCATTATTATTCTTATTATTGGCACCATTTTTATATGTGCGAAGTGCTTAGTGTAGTATCTGGCACACAGAAATTCTCAATATCTGCTATTATTATTATAATGAAATTAGCAGGTTTTAAGCACAAACTATGTACTAGGCATTTTATATCCATAATCTCATTTAGTCTTTAATCCTGAAGGTAGATATTAAGAATAGTAATTTTTTATTATTATAGTTAGCATGTATTAATTGCTTACTGTGGGCTAGGCTGTGTGCTAAGCATCTCCTTGGATTGTCTCTTTTAATCCTTGCCTCAGTCCTGAGATGGGTCCTTTGATCCCCAGGATGTAATGGGGAAATTGAGGTTTGTGGGGTCAGGTGACTTGATCAGGGTTACCCAGCTGGCAGGTGGCAGATCTGGGGTTTGGACCCAGGTCAGTCTCAGCAGAGTTGATGTGAGCACAAACCTTCACGGTCATCTTCAGTCAGCTTAACCCTGGAACCCGGCTGATCCAGTGACCCAGAGCCCACCCTATGGATGTCCGCTCCCCGGGGGGTTCATGGGAACAACCCCGTCCAGTGTTGCCTCCTCTGGGGCCCCACCTTCCACCCCAGCACCTGGCCTCTCCCTACCCTCTGTCACCTCCCCTTGGCAATTGATCCGCTGGTACTGCGGCCAGCCCTGTATTGTCCCCCCGGGGGCCCGAGGTGGTGCCCAGACCGGTAATTGATTGCCCCTTGATTGCTGCAGGCGGCCGTTCAAGCCGCAGTTGGAGCTGCAGCCCAGCCAGGCCTGGGAGCTGCCAGAGACCGAGAAATCCAGAGCCTAAGTTTCCGTCCAAGTGTGGACACTTCATCTGTGCTTCCTCTGACACTGAGCCGGAAAGCTGTACACTTGAGCAGGCAATAAAGCTGTGGCTCAAGAGAGGCGGGTGGGGCCGTGGAGAGAGGAGAGCCTGGGAATCCGGGGATGGGGTCTGAGTCCCTGGCCTGCTGGTTATCAGGCCAGGGCCCTCCCTCTACAGTCCTTGTCCCCTAATCAGTCACATGGGAAATAACACTGACTTCCCAGGGCTGCCGAGCGCAGAGGTTGTAAAGAGAAAATGCCTGGCACACAGTAGGAGCTTAAGCAAGGTAACGAAACCTCATTGTAGGGGTGGCAGCCACTGTCTCTGGAGCCACTGCATGTGCCAGGCCCTATGCTGAGAACTCAGTCGGTCCTCACGGTGACCCCATGAGAGGGGCGCCATTGTGCCAGGCTTCTCAGCCTCAGCCGGGGGCTCAAAGGGCTCAGTCTGCTGGAACGCAGGCCGTCTGCTCCGTGTGATTTGCCCCAGCAATGGCTGACTCCCTCACCAGGCTGCCCCAATACTGTCACTGAGGGTCGTGCTGCAGCGCCCAGCCCCTTACAGGCAGCACACAGGCTCCCAAGATGGAGGAGGGGCCTCTGCCGTGCCCCCCAACAGGGCCCCTCCAGCTCTGAGTGGAGCTTGGACCACGGGACCGTACTCCGGCCTGACCCTCCCGAGCCCCACAACCCTCTACCACATGCTCTCACATCTGCTTCTGCCCCAGCTGTGGCCACTGCCCACAGGGACCACTGACCCCTCCACCCCCATTCCAGCCCCCTCACCCCACGATGGGGAAGAAGGCCTCAAGACCCTCTGTTCCCTGCAGGGTTCCCAGAGACCCATCGGGCACTGGGGGCTTCTGAGATCCCTGTGCTGCGTCACTTTCAACCACTGACTCACTTGCTCGTGAACTATTTATACCCCTCACACAAATGCTCCGCTCAGCGCTCCCGGCAGACATCTCTGTTCTGCTGGCGGCTCCAGGACATGTGGAGGGGGCTGGGCACAGAGCAAATGTTCAGGTTTATGAGCCCAACAGATGTGGGGTGGAAGCCCAGCTCCTTCCTTTACTGCTGTGTGACCTTGGGGTCGTCACTTAACCTCTCTGAGCCTCCATTATAAAATAAGGTTATTATGAAGATTAAGTAAAATAAAGTATGTAAAGTTCCCAGCATAAAGATTTCAGAAAGTGGTTGCTATTAGAAGTCCAAAGTCATGTGAAGCTTGTGTATAACTAGAGATGGGAGGGAAAGTGGGGAGCCCTGAGGAAGGCACAGGAGTGAGGTGTGTGTTTATGCAGGACTCCAAGTCTCCAGGAGATCGGTTTCTGGAACTCAGCCCCTCTATGTCACACTACTGTCACCAACACTGTCACACAGTCAGCTTGAAGTTTTGGGGACTGTACTAGGATTCTTTAGACTCAGAAGGCCCATTTTGCCTGAGACCCCTCTCCCCAGCCCACCAGGAGACAGGGCTGGTGTTTGGTTAGCCTGATAAGAGGGCCCGGCTGTGCCGTGTGAACAATGCCCACGTCTGCCATGCTGCCTGCTCCGGGCACCAGTGGTACCGTCCCAGCTGGGGGACGGGGCCTGGAGGCCACCTCTGACCCAAGTTCTTACCACAAGGAGGCTGGTCGAGAGGGATGTTTATACTCCGCCCCCCACGCCATCCCTGTCTCTGCCAGGCCATTGGTGGTAGGAAAAAGAAGCCTGAAATGTGCAGGGCAGGGACACTGTCATCACCTAATCAGTGTTCCAGGCCTTTCCAGCCACCCAGCCATATCCCCACCACTCATTGTAGGCATTCTGCACAACCTGTTCCCTGGACACACCCTGGCCGCCTCCTAGAAAGCTAGAAGTAGGCTTCCCTTCTGTGACCTCTGGCCCTGCCCTGTGACACGTGGTACCTTCTGCCTCCCTCCTGGGTGGGGACAGGGAGTCCATCGAGTGCCCGTGGAGATGCCGGTAAGCCAGCTGGTCCTGGAGATGGTCAGTGAGCGCTAACGTCAGAGCCCACCCTCCCCATCCGCACCCCCATGGTATTGTGAATTCTTTCTCCCTGCTTGTTTATGTCACATTCAGTACAGGGAGGCTGTGACACATTCAGCTTCCTTGTGTAGCAGACTTGTCCAAAAGTTAGTACTGTTCAACATGTGGGAGGCTGCCAGGCCGCGTGGTGAGTTCCCCATCAGCAGAGGTAACCACGTAGCAGCTGGGCCACAAATGGGGCCTTCGCCTGGGCCAAGGTCTCTTCCAGCTGTGACGGAGTGATGTATTGATGAGCAGTGCCCCCTGAGTTCCCAGGCTCCTGCCTTCCACCTTGTGACTGCTCTGACTGGTCAAGCATGAGGTGTCAGGATGTCCTCGGGCCTCTCTCTCTGTGCCCACAGGTACGATGCCGGCCGGGACGGCTTCATCGACCTCATGGAGCTAAAGCTCATGATGGAGAAACTCGGGGCCCCCCAGACCCACCTGGGCCTGAAGAACATGATCAAGGAGGTGGACGAGGACTTGGACAGCAAGCTTAGCTTCCGGGAGGTGAGCCCTGCTCCCCGGGGGGCGGCTCCTGAGGGCTGGGCGCTGGGGAGGGACTAAGCCCCTCTGCCACTGAGCGGCATGGTCCTCGAACAGCTGCTGTTGAATGTTGAGGCCCCAGCGGGATCCTAGAGCGGGCACTGGGGGCTTCTGAGATGCCTTAAGTGCGAAGGAGGGACATCCATTGCTTCATGTAGTGAGCACTTACTGAGTGACTTCTGTCACAGACGCTGTGTGGGCTCTGGCAGTACAGAGAAAGGCCCTGTGCTGCAAGGGTCCTGGGGTCAGAGGGAGATGCGTGAAGAGTGAAATAACAGGGTGCTGTGATGCAGGAGAAGCAGGGACAGACGGAGGGAGTGACACGTCCTGCAGGCCGGAGAGGAGCCAGGCCCTGGGCTCGGTGACGTCACACTCTGGATCCCACTCGGTCCTCACTCTGACACAGGAACCACGAGCAGGCCTGTTGATGGAAGAGGAAACGGAGGCTCAAAGCCAGATAGCAGTGGGACCGGACCCCAGGCAGCAAACGGTTAAATGCCAGGGTCAAGGCTCAGACTGGGCCTTAGAGAACCAGCCAGAGCATAGAGAAGGAGGGACAAGAGAAAGGTGGGGGGAGGGGGCACCTGGGAGAGGACAGTCCCAGGGAGGAAGGTGCAGGCAGTGCGGAGTAATGGTTTGGAGTCGGGACATGGGTTCAAATCCTTCTTCCATCACTTTCTAGGGCTGAGATTTGGGGCAGGTTTTTTCTTGTTTCTGAACCGTCCTCATTCTGTAAAATGGGCACAGTCATGTACCTTTAGGACTCAGTAAATGGAATTTAGAGTGGATTCTTTTGGGGAACAGAGGAGACAAAGATAAGAGACTCTTGATGGGACCTGAGCATGGGCAGAACATGCCTGCAGTAGCCCCGGATCCTGGGAGGGCAAGAGGTGGGTCACCTAGCCTCCCACTGTACAGATGGGCAAACTGAGGCCCAGAGAGGGAGGGGCACAGGGGCCTGTGCAGGGACACAGAGCACGGAGTGGGGAGAACCCAGACCTCTGGCTCCCGGTCCTATGAGTGCCCCTCTTTTTTCTCCAGAAGGCCTGAGGCTGGGCCTGGGTGTGGCCAGGGACTCCGGCCCCTTTCTCTCTCTCCCTGACCCCACGCACTTTTCTCCCTGCGCAGTTCCTCCTGATTTTCCGCAAGGCAGCGGCTGGGGAGCTGCAGGAGGACAGCGGGCTGCACGTGCTGGCCCGCCTCTCCGAGATTGACGTCTCCACCGAGGGCGTCAAGGGGGCCAAGAGCTTCTTTGAGGCCAAGGTGAGGAACCGGAGGATGTGTGGAGCCCAGGGTGGGGGGCCTGACCCTGGCTCGAGGAGGGTGGTGACTGGGCTATAACAGGACCCTGCGTTAGCTCAAGGGCCAGCACTTCCCCTTCCTGTCCCTGCTGAGGCTGCAGACAGGAGACAGGAAGCTGACACCCCGGCCAAGCTGGGCAAGGCCCACAGTGTGCCCTCCTGGCTCTGTCCCCTCCCATCCAGGCTGTGATCTTTTCCAGCTTCCACTTTCTGTCCCTGTGCCGGGGGTGGGTAAGGGGTAGGTACTGTCAGAGAGGGGACAGGGACCACTTTGAGCTGCCCCTGGCACACAGAGCCACTACCCCCAAAGGACTGGGCCTTAAAGGTGGCCTCAGGAGACAGCAGAGCAGGCCCCGAAACACAGCACTGACTCCCGGGGCCTCTCAGAGACACCAGCCCCGCCAGCCCTAGCCTGTAGGGAGGATGATGAGCCCCAGAAGCCACCTACATGCACAGCACCCTTCCCTTTCATCACACATTTAGATGGAAGGGACACATATGGCTCCTGGGTCCTGCCCCCCCAGGGCACCTGCCTTTCCATGTTTCTCCCTCTTCCCATGTGAGCTAAGGACGTTCCTTCTCAATGCTGCTCCCACCTCCCTTTGGGCTTCTAGGGTTGATGGGATGTTTCAGGTTCATCAGTGGGACCAGGTGTGCAGCTGGGCTCCCCAGGACGGGAAACGGGGTGAGGATGGCAACCTCAGAAGCTCCCACATCGAGGAGCCATGCCATGCAGCAGCCACTGAATGTGCCTTATCTCTTTTAATCCTCCCAACAGTCCGTGAGGTCAGAGTTATTGAGCAGCAGGCTCTAAACGGAGAAACTGAGGCTGAGAGAGGTGAATGCAGTGCCCGCCCCAGGGCCAGAGCTAGTGAGAGGCAGAGCTGTGCGTGCGTTGGTG